ACCTGTTGACATTAGAAATTAGGGATCACTTGCATACAGTTTAGGGGCAGGCATCTTGGATCATTGTATGATCCCAATGCCGTGGGCTCAGCACTATGTTAGAGGAATGACAGCATGCTCTGCAAATTCACAGAAGGACCTAACCCTGCTTGGCTTTCCAGAGAAAGCAGAACCTAAGACGGGACCTGATAGCTAGATCATGGATTGACTTCTGCCCTCCTCCTGGTCCAGCATGACCTAGAAACACTTCTTAGAGATGACCAATCTGCCTCGGGGTATTTTGCATGGAACAAAATAGTAGGGGGTGGTAGACTTGGAACTCAGACTCACTTGGCTTGAGCTTCAAGATTGCCCAAGTCAACCTTGGTTTCCTAATCTAAAAATTGGGAGTAAATACCATGAGGTGATAAGAATTCAATGATATGTCACCGATAAAACACCTCATAAGATGTCGTCACATATAAGGGGTAGATAAATATTCAATCCCTTCTTCCCTTCAGGCCTAAACCAAGTTTATCTTAGTGACAAAATCCATTCCTTTCCCTACAGGAGAGGAGCATATTTGGGAAATTGGGAAATAGGAGGGCTTTTTCCTATGACTAGAAATGCTTTGAGACTGAACCCCAGGCACTGCCTTATCTGATTCAACTTTGTGCAGTAATTTGCAAGACAACCAGCTACAATATTGGGGCAGAGATATGCTAGCCAGGGAAAAGAGCAAGCCATGGCAACCATGGGAATGAGGAGACAGTTTGCTGGCTCTGGCATCATTTGTTTTCTTCTGTAGGAAGCATCAAGGTTGGAGGCAACAAACCAATAATGTTACAGCTTGCCCCGATCCCTCAACTGATTCTTGGAGAGCTTCATTTAAGTGAAAGAACTTTCCTTTTAAAAATATGGCCATGCCATGCCAACTTGGTCCCACTCCACTAATTGTCAAGCCAATCCATTTTCTTTTTGCCTTTGGGATTGATGGTTATGATCCAATGATTTCCCTCCCAGTTGAGATCTGCTGGGAAACAGGACAGGCATCTTGGACCATCTACCATTTAAAATATCGCCAGTTAACAGTTCTCCTTGACCCCATCACAGAATCATGCATGCAGAAGGGGACGTGTGCAGACACATTCACTATAGATTTGTTGGTCTGTGAAAAACTAGAAAGAGACCAAATGTGTCCACTGCTTGGGAATGGCTAAGAACTGTAATATAGCCACAATGGGGGAATACTGTGCAGTAGCTAGAAAGAGTACAGTAAATCTATGTTGTTTACTTAGGCTAGATTTCAAAGATATAGCATTGATTGAAAACACTCAAGTGTTACAACATGTACAGAATAATACATTTTATGTACTGATATATGGCAAAGTCATCCCACAAAATATGGCTACTATATTTTCCATGGATACACATCTGTGTATGTAAAAGCATAGAAATAGGCTTTAAAGGATTGGAAGACCACCCCCTGCCAACAAGGCAACAGGGGATAGAGTGAAGGAAGGGTGGTCAAAAAGGATGTTAGCCTTATCTCCAGTATTTGAAGGTTTTACTCAAAAAGACAATATTGGGGCCCCTGAGTGGGTCAGTTGGTTAAGCATCTGATTCTTCATTTCAGGTCAGGTCATGATCTCAGGGCTGTGAGATCAAGCCTCATGTCTGGCTCCTTGCTCAGTGCAGACTTTGCTTGAGATTCTCTCTCTCTCTCTTCCCCTCCCCCATTCACATGCACTCTCTCTCTCTCTAAAATAAAAAAATAAATCTTTCAAAAAAATTAAAAATAAAAGGACAATATCTTTGTGTATCACTTTTATAATTTTTTTCAGTTATTCATTGGTCTTTTATTTTTTTTTTAATTTTATTTTTTATAAACATATAATATATTTTTATCCCCAGGGGTATAGTTCTGTGAATCGCCAGGTTTACACACTTCACAGCACTCACCATAGCACATACCCTTTTATAATTTACAATTAATGTTTTGAAGGTAGAATGGAAATATTGTGATTGTGAGCATGGTAAGCTGTAATATTATCCAAAAAATATCTGCCACCTGGGGAGGATGATGCTTCTCTGTTGAGTCAACGTCAGGTGCGGCTGCATGACTTGCTCTGGTCAATGAAAGGTCAAAGGAAGCTTGGGGAGCCCATGTGTGATTTGCTGTGGTCTTTTCTCCTCTGCCATGAGGCTAGAGAACATCTCACAGAGAAGTTTCTCCATCAGCCTGGTTTGCTGGAGCAGACAGATGTGGAGCAGAGCTCCAGCCAAGCTGAGAAGACCACGTAGTGTATAATGTGAGCAAGAAATAGTCCCTTGCTGTCCTAAGCCATTAAGACTGTGGGGCCACTTGTCATTGCAGCAGAACCTAACCTAGACTGACTATAGTAGCCTAGGGATAACAGAGAGCAATAGGTCACTCTGGAGCAGAGGGTGCAGGCAGAGAGGAGACAAGGTTTGGGGTCAGAAAGGCAGGGAGGTCCTGGTTGGGGATGAGGAGTACCATGAGGAAGACAATGAAAGGGAAGTGGAGGGAAGAGCAGTAGAAACTGGTTTTGCCCATTTTTCCAACTTTGCCTTAGGACCTTGTCCTCAATTGCCATCTGACCAATGAGAATAATTTGGGATTCAACACGTTTTCCTTCATCAGCTGGCCCTGGCCTAACTGGCAGATCTTTTCAGGGGAGTCCTGGGAATTTACTGAGAAAACACTTGCACAATGTCAGGGCTTAATGGTATGCAGGTGTCCATCAACCCTGAGCTGGTATTAGATGGGCACCTCAGCTATAACAACCAATTCTAAAGTCACTCAGACTTTGAGAAAGCTGCAGTCAAAAAGCAAAGGAAACCAGATGGGCAAAAACTTACTTGGCTCCATCAACCTGACTCAGATAAACAGCAGCTGACACCTAGGTGGATGGCAAATGACTCAAATAAGGTCATGTGGCTCAGTCATGTCTTTTAATTCTAAATGACAGAAAAGGAAAGGGCTAATGGGCCATGGGACATGGCAGAAAGGGGGTGTTGTCAGATGGATCAGGGGTTCAATGCACAGCACCTGACCAACTATGTGGCCTTGAGCCTGACTGGAAAGAGACGGGAAATGAGCATTGTTATTAACAACTCTGGGCCTCCGTTTCCTCATCTGTAAAATGGGTTTAAGAATACCTACTTTGTAGAATTCATGTGACGAACAAATGAGTGTGTTGTGGGGGGGCAGTGCATAGCTGGTGGATTAAATTAAAATATGCAGATCATGACCTGCTGAATGAGGAGACACGAGGCACCCACATGGGATAGGCAGGCAGCTCCTTCAGCATCCCAGCTCCCACCCTGGGGAAGTGGAGACCCAGGGTCATTTCAATACGCTCACACAAAGATAATAAACTCATGAGATTTATTGCTCACAGATCCCAGAAACGTGTTGGGGGTGTGCAATGAAATGAGGGAAGGGCAGTCCTCTGTCTCAGGTCTCAAGCGAGCAGGAGAGAGAGCAGGGTAGCAAGTACCGGCTTCTGATAAGGTGGTTGGGGCAAAGGTCACTTACATCTTGTGGGCTTGACCCCCAAGTGGTTATTTTAAAAAGGTGCTCTGCGAAAAGTAAAGTGGGAACTTATGGCTGGAAATCCTAAGCTTGAGGTTCTTATCTGCATGTCCATGGGTGTGAGCAGGATTGCCAGGCTGCAAATTGCCTGGGCAGCAACTTGAAAGAGCTCTTTTCTCATCAGAGGGGGATGGAAATTTAAATCCAGAGGCTCTTCCAACCCTGAAAATGCAACCAACACATCTCCTCTGGGCATGGTCCTCTAGTGGCTCCCACACTCCTCACCACCCCACAGTAGAAAAGCTAACAACCTAAGTTCTCACAAGGTCAGCTCAGTCCCACTTACTTATGTCCAGAGGCAGGGTGAAACAAAGAAGACCACACTCCAGGAGAGGAGCCTACCCAGACTCAACTGAGAGACCTAGTCTAGAAGAGACCATGCTCCTCAGATCCCATCCTGCCCAACAGCTGAGTGGTCACCAGACCAGGCGCTTTCAGTGAGTGGTTCCTATCTTTCCAACAAAGACACCTGCTGGTCTTCTGCTGTGAATGGATCCAGAAGCCACCAAGTGGGATTCCTCTCTGCCCCATGTTTCAGCACAAACATTCAACTGAAAGCAAGTCAAGGACATGCACGGGGGCCTCTGTGCAGCAGACTTGGATCTTGGCCTATAAAAGCTGTTAGCCAACCAGGAGCAGAGCCTCCTGAAGACCAGGTAGGATCACCCTGGGAACCTGGGCCTGCTCTTTCATGGAAATGTCCTCAGGGACAGGTGGTCAACTGACCTAGTAGTCCTTGACATCTCTCGCCACTTCCAAATACTCTGATCCAGGGTTCATTTAGCTTCTGTAGTAGCGTAAGCATTGACGTCCACCAACAGAGTAAGCATTGATGTCTACAGTAGAGTAGTAAGTGCTGATTAGAGGAAAGTACTCCCTCCCTCCCTTACGCTCAGTCCAAGCCCCCAGTGGAACAGATCCCGTCCTCCACCCCAAGGTTGACATGGAACGTAGGCCTGGTTGGTCAAAGCGTTCCACTCTCTAGGTTGTGGCAACTAGACACACTACTCAGCAAGCCCACAGGGCCATTGAGCTACGGTGTAGTTTCTGCTGGGATGGCTGAGAATGAGGCATGGGACTCTGGAGAGTGTGAATATGGAGCTGCTCAGGGCCACCATATGCAGAGCGGAAGGGGCCATCCATGCAGCAGAGCACAGAATGGAAGAAAGAAGAGAAGGCCGCTCACCAGCTTGTTTGAATTCCTGGATTAAATGATACCTGATTTATCCCCAGAATTCATAGCTATCAATACATTCGTTCTCTGATTTAGGCCAATTTGAGCTGGTTCTGTGTCTTAAAACGGAAACAGTTCTTGCTAACACATCTTCAGCCCCTTTGGCCCCTTTGACTCCAAGAGCTCCAGAGCTCCAGAGCTCCCCCATCAGGTGCCTGGAACCTGCCACGAGGTTCCAACCACTACAGAAAACCTATCCACTCTGTCCTAACTCTTCCAGTCCAGAGAGTTGAAACTCTGAGTTCAGAGGCAGAGGAACAGAGGGGAAAATGTCACTGTGTACCCAGAGGAGAAGGACAACAGGTTCTCCACCTCCACCCAACAGTCTGGAACAGCAGAGCCCCATCCTTTGAGCTAGATTTGAGAGCCCATGGGATTGCACAGAATGTGTCCCTCTTTCATTCCAAGGCCAGCCAAGTGGACATTCCTGCTACCCACAGCCTAGACCAGCCTGAACTCTCCCTCAGGGAAGCCAGAGGCAACCTTCACATGACCATTCACTCTCAGATGACTGCTGCAGATCATCAGCTCATGTTTTCCCAATGGTGAACAGGAACAGAGCGCCACCTTCCCCCCAAACCTGTCTCTCCTACTGCTCTCCCTCCAGACATCAGAAGCTTGCATTCTACATTTCTGGAACCTGGAGCAAGAAGGACATGGCAACCTTGACCCCCTCCCTAGCCCCACTCAACATCACCTCCATCACAACAGAGAGCCCTGCTGGGAAACCAGATGGTGGTGGAATGCATTAGTCTTGGGATGAAAAATGGTCACAACCCCTTTAGAAAATGAACCATGGTGTCCAGAATCCTTGTGGAGCAGGGAAAGTGCAAACAGCCCATATCTAAGGTACTAAGCACTCCATGGAAACCATCCTCCATGTGGTGCCAAGTCACTGGGACTCCCAGGTCCTCCAGCCGCTTCTTGTACAACAGCGAGTCATCCCGGAGAAAGTCAAACTCACAGCTCACAATGAATGTTTCGGGGAGCTGGGACACGACTTCATCTTCTGCAATCAGGGGTGAGTTCATGAAATCCAGCACGAGGCTTGTCTCCAGATAGGCAGCCTCATTCAAGGGCACCGAGGTCGGCTGATAGGTTCCCTTCTTAAATCTCTCTGGGATGTTTTCTGCACCCAACCACTTTCTATATTTTTCCCAGAATTCAGCAGGCAAATGGGCGCCTTTCAGGATAGTGTTTTTCCAGGAGGGGTTGATGTCCAGGAAAGCACTCCAACAGTAGAAGGCAAAGTCTTGGCTGGCCATGGGGACATTCTTGTTCTGCTGATGGGAGGGGAACTGGAAATGCACAGCCTGGAGACTGGCGTAGATCAGGATCTGAGCACGGATCTTGGGGAGATCTGGACAGCCCAAAAATCTTTGACAGATTGCCGTTGCCATCCCCCCTCCCACACTGTCCCCACAGAGCACGACCCGATCTGGGTCCACCCCGTACGTGTTCAGGGACTTTAGGAAGTGGGTCGTAGCTGCAATGCAGTCTCTTAGCGCCACAGGGAACTTATGGTGGGGCAACTTGCGGTATCTAAAAAAGAATCAAGGAACACGGTTTACACCCAGCTCCCTAGAAAAACCAAACCTGTGTCTAGCATCCTTTAGGCCAAATTTCTTCCATTAAGTTCTCTTTCTGAAGCCCGAGCAGGTGAAGTGAAGGTATGTGGCTTGAAAGACGTGATGGACATGAAGTCCACCGTGTCTGGCGTATAGGCTCAGTGAGTGGTGGCTGCTATTCCCTCTGTCTCAGTGCCCCTTTGGGGGACAGACAACGACCACAAGAGCCCTCAACAATTTAGCAGTTACCAACACAAACCCCATCTTTCCGTACCAACCTGCTGGTGCATCCTTGACTCACACGTGTCCCCTCACTTACGTTCCTTTATGAGCATCTCCAGCTTTGCCTGGGTTTCAATTCTAACTAATCCTGCCAAGCTTGCGGGTTTTGTGGGAGGATCTTGTAGATGTAAATACCGCCTGAGACCAGCAGTTAACCTGTGGGTCTCCTCCAGGTCAGCCGTGTCCACTCTGGGCCATTCCTGCCCTACAGGTGAGCCACGTGAGTCCCTGGTCTCCATGCTCAGGTTGCTGTCATGCAAGCACACCAGCCCAGCATGCTAGACCTCCCCATTTTTCAAGAGATTCCAGAAATCTGGGTGTTGTGAGAAATGTTACCACTTGAAACGTTAAAAATATAAAACTATTCTATGGGATCAACAAATTTTTGCCAACCGTTTCCATTCCGATGCCTCCTATTTTTAAGCTGTCCTGAGTTCAGGCTGGGACAGCAATGTTTCAACTCTAAAACCTTATCTTCCTTGGATTCATAAACTAATTTTCTTATAGAGAGTTGCTGGTATAATAGACCGGCGACGTCTTTGTTCCACATGACCAGAGCTATAAGGAGTATCGTGGCCAATGCCTGAATCGAGAATTCCCCAAGGCAGAAAATATCTCACAGCTGAGAATTATAAAGTGATTGGTTTCTCTGGGTTCCCCCTTCTTCATGCAGGACCAATTTTTGTATTTTTCACTCTCAGTCAACCAGTTGTGCTGCAAGGAAGCTGGGAAATTTTTTCTTGCTAAGACCCCAGCAAATGGCATTTCTTTATGGCACCTGCATTTAAACAAAGCTGCAGGAAAGATTAGTCAGGAGAAACCACACTGCTCCCGTGGGATGTTGTGTCAGGCAGTGGGGGCGGGAGGTCTCGCCTGCCCCACGTCCACCAAGCCCTCTTTGAGGTTCCAAACCAGGAGGTCAACTCTCCAAGACCAGGTAGGAGAGAGTGGCTTTTTAATCCTTCTCAGTTCCTTTGACAGATCTCACCAGGGTGGACCCCCCCACCTCAGGAGCGCTTGGGAATGCCATGGCAATGTCTGCCCTCATCTGGTTTACCACGTGGGGCACCATAGCATTGTGTGGAAGGAGGTGTCTGGAACATGCCGGGCTCTTTGGTCCGGTGAAGCACTTTCCACCCAACGGGGCTCATGTGCGCAAAGCTCTGCACCCGATCTGCTCGACAAAGGCCCCTCCCCACACAGCTTCCAGGTGACAGCCTGCACGGGATGCCGGAGGGCCGCCCGCAGGAAGGAGTGCCGTTCTCTGCCTCTCTCTCTCCCTCTCTCTCTCTGTCTCTTTCCTTTCCTCCCCTCAGGGTTGCTCACAGCCCATCCCGTGCCCCAGTGTCCTGGTATCCCAGCATCCTTTTGTCTCCCCGCCTCCCACGCCATCACCCAGCACCACCTCCTCCTTCCCGTGCTCACCCAACTGCTAGAACCACTGAGTCACTTTCCTTGGACAAACGACAGCATATGGCATAGTGGGTTCCTAGAAAATAAAACGTTTTTAACATTCACTAGGACGGTTAGTGGCTTCCTTTGGCAGCCGTCACCACGGGCTGCCCCTTCTCTCTGACAACCACCATGGACAGAGAGTTGGGGTTGATCCTAATGGGCCTTTGCAGACTTTCTTCCAGCTGTGGAGAAGCCTTCCTCCTCCACTTGCTAGAATTTCTCCTTGGACGTCCTGTCTGAACAACTTCCTCTAAGATCCCCTCTTTCCCTGTGGTTTCTGCAATTCATTCAAAACATCTGAGATGCTGGGGCGCCTGGGTGGCTCAGTGGGTTAAAGCCTCTGCCTTCAGCTCAGGTCATGATCCCAGGGTCCTGGGATCGAGCCCTGCATCGGGCTCTCTGCTCAGCGGGGAGCCTGCTTCCTCCTCTCTCTCTGCCTGCCTCTCTGCCTGCTTGTGATCTCTGTCTGTCAAATAAGTAGATATAATCTTTTTTTAAAAAAGTTAAAAAAATGGACACAATGATAACAACAGGGCTGTGCAGAGGTTAATGAGATTATGCGCATGAAGGGTCTCTACAGTGCCTGCTGTGTAAATATTAATTACTAATAATATTATTTAATACCCATTGACTGTTAACGCCGTTCATTATGCAGACGGAACCCAAACCACGGCTGCAGAAATCCCTTATTTTCCCGAGGCTACCACTGTGAGCTTCTGCCTTTCCACGGTTTAGAAGGCAGGGCTGAAACCAAATAAAATTGTTTTTCCCCTTAAATTCTTGGGGCACCTGTGTGGGGGAGGTTAAGATAATAAAATTGTCTCAATTTTGAGGTTTTTTCCTCTCATTAACTCTCCTCAAATTTTTGATTCTCCTGTCTGTACCGGAATTTGTCTCAGGAAATATCTGGCCCGAAACAAAAGGTTGTGTCTCTGGGGTTTTTTGTTTGTTTGTTTGTTTTTTCACTTTTTAAAAAACTCCTTTTTTCCAACTAAATAGAGGTCGTAGTTGTAGAACATTGTTAGTGTAGTAAATGCCACTGAATCGTACAGTTGAAAGCAGCTGATTTGGGGAGCCTGGTGGCTCAGTGGGTTAAGCATCTGCCTTTGGCTCAGATCATGATCCCAGGGTCCTGAGATCAAGTCCTGCATCAGGATCCCTGCTGAGCGGGGAGTCTGCTTGTCACTCTGCCTCTGCCTCTCCCCCTCCCCTGCTTGTGCTCTATCAAACAAATTAATAAAATCTTAAAAAATAAAGTGGGTAATTTTATGTTGTGTGAATTTCATGTGTATATATATATATATGTATATATTATACATAGATTATACACATAAATAAATACATAAATATGTATGTGTGTGTATGTATATATATATATTTTCCCCCCATATTTGGGTCTCCTCACTTCCAGAAAGAGATCCAAACATTCCATATCTTTGCTGCCAGCCTGATCTGGGCCCCACTACCTCTCTGGCCGTGCTCTGTCCTGTAGCAGCTTACAGACTCCAGGACAGTGATGGGAGAGCCCCATGTTGCTGGAAGGCAGGTGCCCCCCCCCCCCGCTCTGCTCTGAGGCTTTCCTACTAGGTCTGAGGGAAGGACTCTTACTCAGGCTCCCCATGACTATCCCGCCGCCGTGGTAGAACACGATGCCAGGCCTGAGGGTGCAGGAAGACACCTTGGGCTGGTACAGCTTCACAGGGATCGTCCCGTAGTACAGATCTGTGACCATGACATCCGGATCCTCCTTGAGTGGCACTAGATCATGCACGAAACGGACAAACTGAGGCATAGAGCAGATTCTCAGTCTCTCAAAAATCATCCCCTGTTGGTGAGAGAAGAGGAAATGAGGTGGGAAGGGTTTCAGTGTGCAGCACAGTGGAGTCCTGCCACTGCCTGTGGCCCCCAGCGGGGTGGTCAAGGCAGGCTGAGTCACAGTCCTGCTCCACCACGTGTGCCCCCATGACCCTGCCGTAGATCCAGCCCACCTCGGTCCACCTACACCGCCCCTTCCTCCTCTCTCCCCAGGACCTGATACCCAGCTCCATAAACCAGGTTTCTGGCCACCCCACGAGGGTCCCTCTAACCCAGAACACCCACCCCCCGTGGCCTGGACATGACCTCTCTTCCCAAAGATGCCGTCCCGGACCAGCCTAGCCAACACGGCCATTCCAAGAATTAGTTGCTATTAGGACTTGATAATGACATTGTGGTTATGTTTTTTAAAAGGTGGGGGGTAAAGATACAAATTTAGCGATCTGAAGGGGTGCCTACACCCCGATGTTTATAACAGCAATGTCCACAAACTATGGGAAGATCCCAGATGTCCATCAACAGGTGAATGGATAAAGAAGATGTGGTCTATATACACAATGGAATACTGTGCAGCCATCAAAAAATGAAATCTTGCCATTTGCAACCACATGGCAACCACAAATAGAGGGTATTATGCTGAGCAAAATAAGTCTGAGAATTATCATACGATCTTACTCACATGCAAAATTTAAGAAACAACAGAGGATCGTAGGGAAAGGGAGGGAAAAAAAAAAAAACAAGACGAAATCAGAGAGGGAGACAAACCATAAGAGACCCTTAATCATAGGAAACAAACTGAGGGTTGCTGGTGAGGGGGCATGGGGTAACAGGGTGACATTAAGCAGGGTACTGGGTATGATATAAGACTGATGAATCATGGACCTCTATCTCTGAAATTGATAATACCACTATATGGCCAATAATCGAACTTACATTTTTAAAAGGATACAAAGTAAAAAAATAAAATAAAAATAAATAAAAGGTGAGGGGTTCTTGTCTTTTAGAGAGACATACTGAAGCTTTTTGGATAAATATAATACCCAAGATCTGCTTCCTAGGAAACGGGAAGGGGGAAAAGTTAGGGTCACAGGTGCAACAAGGTTGGCTGGGAGTCGGCAGTCAGTGCTGGGGGGCTGGGGTGGTATGGTATTCTGTCTCCTATGTCTGGGGGTTGGCATAACAAGCCGTAAAAGTAAACAAAGTAGGCTCTTTCCCAGGCACCCTCTTTCCAGCGGCTCTGCCCCAAGGTCCTTTTGGCTTTCAGTGATGCCTGTGGACCTTGAGACAGAATATTTCCAACACATAAAGTAAAATACATGGGATTACCAAGGAAACCAATTTCTTTTCAATTATAGTTATCAAAACAGGAGGTACACAGGCCAAGTAATAATGCACGTGCTTCCTTATTAGCACACCAAGTAGCAAGACCTAGTGGCTGGATTAACACTATTCATAACTTCAGAGAAACGAGGCCCGCACACAGTTTTTCGCAATATCTGCAAGAAATGTCATCTGCTCTGAAAACAGCTGGCATGCGCCTTGGTGACAAACCCCGGGTTCTGCTGTCACAACTGTGGTTTGTCCTCTTCATTCCTAATGGAAGGAAATACCACTTTTCCTTTAGAGGTGAGAGGAAATGGAGTGGTTTTTACCTCCCCCCAAATTCAGGAACTCTGCCTTCTGTCGCCGTTGCAGATTCAGGGAACCCTGGATTCAGAAGCCCCGTGGTTCCCTCCTGCCCTATTCCACTTTCTTCGTATCACTTGTCACTGTGTAAATCAATTAATTTCTAGTGAGTTTGTTTGTTTCTCACTGTCTCCCCATGGACATTTCCGTGACAGTTTGAGCATCCTGAAGTCAGACGCTCTCTGGGACTTCCTTCCTCTCACCCATCAGTGATCCCAGAGCTAGGAACTGGTGGATGACATATAGGAGTCACAAGACACCTCTTCATAGAAAAAAAACAAATCAGCAAATAGCAGTAAGGCTAATACTTAACGAGGGCTTCCTCTGCCCCAGGCATCATCAGCCGCACTCAGGATGGCTTACCTCCTGAGAGCCCATGCTACGAGTCTAGACTGTTATTCCCCATCTTTTGCAGATGAGGAAACTGAGTCACCATATTTGGGAACCAGGACTACCAGACTGTGAGAGTCAAGGGCAGGAAAGCCACAGGAGAAATCACTGGGTTTTGTGAAAGCTGAACTTGAAGGTAGGAAACCTTCAGCCTGAGGGTGCTTCTCCAGGACGGATCTCTCATGAGAACAGGTGCTTGCAATTAACTTTCCATTATGTAAGAGACTCAACACTTCTATGTGTTTAATTCATCATCCCTCTGGAAAAGCACCACCAATCCGCATGTGCAACTTGGTCTCCCCATGACCCATTTATATCTGTTTTATTAAACTCACACACCAGGAATAACGAGCAAAATCTGATTATATTCCATAAATAGTTTTCCACCTCTCAAAATTAACAAAATATATCTCTAAAGTCACATTCTGTAGTTTTGCTAATTTACTAAATTAGCACTAATTTACTAATTGGCCGCATATCTCTTTATTGTTGGCTGCTGCTAGCTAGCAGGTAGGTAGTGATGGGGGCTCATTCCTCACTCCACAGAATCACGCCGTGCGCTGTGAAGAAAGTAAGTTGGAAGGCAGGAAAGCGGGACTAGAGCAGGGCTTTTTTCCCCCATTAATGGAGGATGTAAGTCATTTTATCATTTCCTGGCTATGAGCCCACTGCTGGTGAGGGGGCATGGGGTAGTATATCCTTTGACCCACAGACATCTTTCTGTGATGCTTTCTATGAAGATGAAGAGGAAGAGCCCTATGAACACCAGGAAGAGGTTGGGAACCTCATGACTAATATGTTACATATTAGCCTCCACGGCTGTGATAGTAGCATTAATGCAACCACAATCCTCCGAAGGGTGTTTTCCCAACTCCCTCCTTCAGCCTCCGGAAGACGGGACAAATAAAACACACCACTCACCCACGTCACCAACAGCTCGAAAATACAGTGCAGGACCCGCAGTTTCATGGGGTGGCCGATGGCAGCAGGGATTTCCGCAGTGAGGAAATGGTTGCAGACAACCCACAGCCCAACCCCCATGGAGAACACGCAGGCCGCCTGGAGAAGAAGCAGGACCGGGACTGCCATCGTGCTGTTTTCAACACGGAAGAGAGAGAGGAGGCTGTGCTCAGGGCGGGCCACTCAGGACAGGGTTTGGAGCCAGCCACCTTCCTCCACTTATATACCACACCCTGCCCTCCCCATCTCCCCAGCACTGGCCAGGCCAGGTGAGTCACAGACTCAGGTGAGGACGCAGTTCTAGGACAGCGCCCATGCACAGGAGAAAGAGGTTCATGCAGCCTGACTCAGCTAGAAATGAGGGCTCCAAACTTCCAGCTTAGATCCTGGGGCACTGCTACTAGAAATGGCCCTAGAGACTTCCCCATGGACATCACAAACACCATTTCCTCCAACTGTGCTTGGGACAACCCACCAATTCCACTCTGGCCACACTTGCCATTCCTTAGTCTACCAAGGAGCCCCAGGGCCTTTGCACTTGCTATTCTCTGTGCAACCTTGTTCCCCCAGACAATGACTGAGCTCAACCCCTCCCCTACTGCAGGTCTCTTCAAATGTCACTTTCTGAGTGAGGCTGTGCCTGGCCACCTTATTTTAAAGTATAACTCCCCACCAGGATCCCTATGCTCATCCCACCCCTACACCCCCACCCCTGACACTTAACTTACTTTGTCTTCTTGGCCTTTATTATCACTGGAAATACCACACACTTTACTTATTCCTTTATTGTCTGTGACATGTCACCTCTGTGAGCACTGAATTTTTGTTTTGTTCCTTGTTTTATCCTCAGAGGCTAGACCAGGGTCTAGTACTTCATAGGGGCTCAGCAAATGTCTGTTGAATGAAGGAACGAATGAATAGATAAGCTTTGTCCTTTTCATCAAAAAGCAGGAAACATTGAGCTTACCTGACTTTTCAGGTAAGGTCAGAGATTGATGTCAGTGTTCAAAATCTTCCCTAATGGCAAAGTCTCACATCAGGGGTAAGAATGATGATGTCTGTCATCTCTCCCACCTCCCCTGCGGTGGTGCCAGAACAGCGGTCCTCAACAGGGAGAATCCCCACCCCCCACCCCCACCCCCGGAGATCTCTGGCAACACCTAGAGGCATCTTTTGTTGTCACAACCCAGCGAGGGGTGGGGGCTGGGACTGGTGTCTCAAGGGCATGTGTCAGCAGTGTTGCTCAAGGTCCTGCAAGGCACACACGGCCCGCACAATGAGAAGGTACCTGGTCCAACAGGTCAAGAGTGCCCATGATGAAAGCCCTGCATTAGTAAGACTTGGATTTGAATCCAGGCTCTGCCCAAGCCAGCGTTCTCATCAGGAACGAGCTACTTACACTCGCTGAGCCTCAGCTCCCAAGATGGTAAGATTGGGATGATAATAATCGTCCCTCCATGTAGTTTCAGGGTGTGGTAGAACATATGAACCAATGAAGCAGAACATATTTATTGAACCCAATGAAGTAGAACATATTTATTGGCTTTTGGGGTTTTTTAATTTATTTATTGTATAAATAAATATATGTATAGTGTATAAATAAATAATATATTAATATTATAAGTAAATATTATAAAATAAATATATTATAAACAAATATTATTGTATAAATAAATATTGTATAAATAGATATTATATTATTGTATAAATAAATATTATATTATATAAACAAATATAAATAAATAATATTATATAAATAGATAAATGCTGATGGGGAATTTTTTATTTACTTATTGCTTAAATAAATACATTTTAATTTATTTATTTTAATATATTTATTTAATTTTAATATAATTTTATATTTTAATATAACTTATATTTTAATATTGATATTATTTATTTATTTTAATATTTTATTGTATAAATAAATATATATAATATATATTATATTAAAATTTATAGAAATAAATATTTTAAAAATAAATATTGTATGAATAAATGAATATCATATAAATACATATATTATATAACTATTATATATAATAAATATTATATATAAATAAATATTTATTTATTGTATAAATAAATATTATAGTATATATATTTATATATACATATATATAATTTATTTATTTTCTAAATAAATAAATATTTATTTATTGGCTCTTTGGTTTTTTTCCTTTATGGACTCTTGGGAATTTGTGTGTTGATACCTGTTATCTATTTTGCTATTTTTGTCATCTTGAGTTGACTTAAAAGATATTTGTAGTGATCATGTTCTGACAGATGGGGACAACACTCACTGTGGCGAGCACTGAGTCATGTATAGAACTGCTGAGTCACTCTGCTTTGCCCCTGGAACTAACAGAACACTGCATGTCAATTACACTTCAACAAAACATTTTTTAAAATATTTTAAGGACTTTTTTCCATTTTCCTTTTAACTTGGTTAATGCTGTTTTTCTGCATTGATGTTTATCATTTTTATGCAGTGAACTCTCCCACCCATTCTCACATCATGCTTAGAAAGATCCTTTCTACGGTACGTGAAAGCAGACGGCAATGATTTTGAAATTGAAGAATTTCTGTGTCAAATATATATATCTGAATTTCACCCAAGAATTGGAAGCACACACTGATTATTAGGGGAGGGATTGGAGTCTGTCACCACTGAGGTTTACAAACACCTAAGCTGGAAATCATGCAAAAGCACAGGGAGAATGAGGGAATGCATACGTATAAACACCAAACCATTTTTTATTTCCTGGACAGATTAGGATCAGTAATGGTGGCTCTTCTAACAAATGGCCCCTGTATCTCAGATTTTAAGGGAATAAAAACTTATTTCCCTCTCCCAACACAGACATTTGCATATTTGGGGAACAACCACAGCACTTGGCGACTATGGGATCCATGTTTCTTTCCATCTGATGCTCTTTCATCCCCTGGGACCTGTACCTATTCTCTGAACCTTGCCAGGAGCCTGACAAACAGTACCCTCACGGAGGAACCCATGGGCCTGGCCGGGAAATACATCCCATTGGCCAGAACGCATTCACATGGCTTCACCCAAATGCATGGGACCCTGGAGAAGGTACATCTTCTACCTGCACAGGATGAAAATGAAAATGAAATGGAGTTTGGTGAATTCACAGGATCTTTCTGCCATGTAACGTTTTGTCTCCCAAGCAAGAGGAGATTTAATACAGGGAATGTGGAAACTGCTGGGAGGGTGGAGGGAGCAAGAGTCAAGGGAGGGCAGGCTTTCAAGGAAAAGGGACCTGCAGATGTCCCTTTTCAGCTACTTTCAGTCCCTTTCAGTCCCATGTCAGCTACTGGCTGACCTCTGGGTCTCAGCAGAGGACACCTGGAAGTGTGGGCGAAATGTGGAGCCTTTCCATCTGCTGGTGCTCATGAGCCCGTGCTCAGCAGCTACCAGAGAGGGATGACTCCTGCTTCTAGCTGTTTTCCAAAGCTCATGGGGCTGATCCTCCTGGGCCAGCTGGAGCACTGTGGGCAAGAGAGCTTAGGAAATGCCATTGTCCTGCATTGGGCCCCGGACACAGGAGAGAGTTTAGAATGACGAGGGGGTTGCCGAGTGCTAGCATCTGACCCCTGAAATAAACACTAGGGTGATTGTGACGTTCAGACCCCTTGAAGCCCAACCACGGACTGCCGAGGAGGCCCCGGGCCGAGGTCAGGTCTCCCTGTTCTGTACCCTTGCAGTGTTGGTGCTCCTCTGTGCCCCTTGGGGGATTGCCAGCAGTCTTTCCCTTTGTGTGTTCTTCTGCAATGCTATTTGGCACAGAATTACACATTTACTGTGCAAGTTGCCTGTATCAGTTTGCTGGGGCTGCCCTAACCCAGGACCTCAGGCTGGGGGACTTAGCCAACAGGAGTTTATAGTCTTGCAGTTCTGGGTGTTGGAAGTTCAAGGTGTCTGCAGAGCAGGTTTGTTCTGCGGGCTGTGCAGAAAGGGTCTGTTCCGGGCTCCTCTCGTTGGCTTGTGGACGGCCGTCGTCTCCCTGTGTCTCCACATCATCTTCCCCTACTCACATCTCTGTGGCCAGAACTTTCCCTTTTGGTGAGGACACCAGGCATCTTGGATTGGGGCCCACTCTGATGACCTCAGTTCAGTGATCTCTGCAAAGGCCTTATTTCCAAATAAGGTCACGTTCTGAGGTCCTGGGGTTACCGTTCAATGTATGAATTTAGGGGGTGCCCAGCTGGCTCAGGCAGCAGAACATGGGACTCTTGGTCTCAGGGTTGTGAGTTTGAGCCCCATGTTGGGTGTAAGGATTACTCAAAAATTAAAGATGCTTTAAAGAATTAAAAACTCACAACATAGGAATTTAGAGGGAGATAATTCAACCCATAATAGCACCTTTATCAACACTGAATGGTGTTCTTTTATGACATAATCTTTCCTGCCTTGAATTCTACTTGCCCAAAGCCAGAACCTAGAAAGTGCTGGGGTGCACCTTTCCCCTGGGTAGAGCAATCTCTAGAAGAGTAACATTCTATGTTCCCTCTACTTCTACAATCATGCCTCCAAGGGGAGGAAAATGGCTTTTGTGAATGGAGATCTTAAGAAAAGGATTTGGAGGTGCTGCTGTGACATCTGCCTGCAGGGAGGGGCATTCTGGTCTCCGGAGCCACGTGTCGCCTGAGAGACACGTGTGTATGTTTGGTGCTGCCTGGGACCCCGTTCCTAGTATCAGGCAGCACGCTTGCCCACACAGCTAAGCCACATGCTCTGATAATCAGCTTTATCAGAAAGAAAGGTAATGTATCAGTCAGGGTCCCAGCAGAAAACAGACGGCATACTCATGCTGCAGACTGAATGTTTGTGTTCCCCTGAAATTCATATGTTGAATCCAATCCCTAGTGTGATGGTATCTGGAGGGGAGTCCTTTGGGAGGTGATTAGGTCATTAGGGTGCAGTCCACATGAATGGGATTAGTGCCCTTATAAGAGACCTCAGAGTCCCCTTGCCCCTGTTGCCATATAAGGACACAGGAAAAGACAGCCATCTATGAACTAGGAAGTGGGTTCTCATACATGGAATCTGCAAGTACCTTGATCTTGGACTTCCCAGCCTTCACAACCATGAAAGGTAGATTTCTATTGTCTATACACCACCCAGTCTAT